GTGCAGCGTAGCAGGAAGTCGTGCAGCGTAGCAGGAAGTCGTGCAGCAGGAAGTCGTGCAGCGTAGCAGGAAGTCGTGCAGCAGGAAGTCGTGCAGCATAGCAGACTGGAGCAGGTCTGCTGTTCCACAGTGAAGCTTTTTCAAAGAAAACTAGAAAATGGCGGCGCCTGTCCAAAGTATTTTAATATTTTTTGTTCTATTGGTTGGTTCCAGTTCCTCTGGTCCTGTTAACTTCTTTTGTCCTGTCCCGTCTCAATCCTGTGAGTTATAATAAAGTTGAGTCCTGTCCTGCCGGAGTCCTGCGGGAATCCCATGACCCGCAGGACTCCTGGAAAAAATGTCATGCCGTACTGCACATGTGGCTTCTAAGCTACTTTGAGGATTTGAATGAAGTGTATTGATCAGCCGGTGAATGTTTCACGTGCAACAAGCGTAACTTGGAGAAGTGTGTTTGGTTTCTGGTGTAACATCAAAACCAGTTTGTTGTGAGTTCAACTGTGGGGTTTTTAACAGGGAGGTGAGCAGGCTGGTCTGCAGGACCGCGTGATGTGATCAAAATGAGTCGAGACAAAGTTCGGGATAAAATCGTTCAGATTTAATGAATGTTGGTCATTAAATCTCCAAAATGTCTGATTGCTACAAACATGGCTGTTCATGATGCAGGACGGAGCAGTCTGGACCGGGCTTACGAGGCACATTTTTATATTTTCATACATGTATACTTTGTAATGTATTTATCTTTAAACCCGGTCGTCTTGATGTAACAGATCATTTAAAATGCGGAGAAGAGCGGCAGCAGGAGAAGAAGCTGATGCAGCGACTGATGGAGATCGTGAACGGCAGAAATGTGATTGTGGAGGTTCTCGACGAGGACAGGCGGCGGTATTAAAAAAGATCATCCATAATTTTTATTAAACATTTAAAATATTAAAATACATCCTGAATTTCAGTTTTGTATATTCAACTTAGTGAAAACAAGAAACAAACTAAGCTGAGAATGATTTATTTTTTTTATTTCAGGGAAGTAGAAGAGGACCAGCAGTTAAATAAAATGATGCAAGACCTTGGTAAGCATTTTCTTTATTTACATTCAAAAATCAATAAATTACTTGTAATTCCTTTTTTAATTTTTTTTTATGGGAAAACAGGAGTGAAGAAAACTAAAACCAAACGGAAATCTTCCATTTCAAAGATGTTCAGGAGAAGTAAAAGAAAAATCAAATGATGCTCGAAGGATTTTATTTTACTTAAATGTCATTTTTAAACATCATTTTACAGTTTTTTTTTATTGATGCAGTACATGATGTGCAAATGTAAAATAAATCAGAGGATGACAAATGCTCGGGTGAAACGTTGCTTAAACTCTGTTCGTACATTTATTTGAATGTTTTCTAATCTGATGAGCTTGAAACTTGAATTTTTATTTTTGTCTCCCTCATCATTGTTTCACCGTCTTAAAAAAACACGAGTTTTATTATTTTTGTATCAAATGTAAAACCTTCCCAAGCTGGACATATGACTAACATTTACAGAAAATGATGTCCCGTTGAACGGTTCATAAAACATTTGGAACGATTTATAAAATGTCGTCAACTTATGTTTGCTTTAACCTACTTCCATGAATTAAAGGAGCTCCAGCTGCTTCATATGCAAATACAAAAACACGAGTTTAATCCTTGTAACAGTCTCAGTCTGAAATTAAACTGTTCCCGTATTGAATAAAAAAGTCTTTTGACATTTCCAGTGAGGGAGATTTGACACCAAGTTGAAGCGTGGCGTCTCGTCTGTACTGCAGGTGGCAGCCTGGGCTCGCCGAATCACCAGGCCCCACTGCAAATCCAATTTAGCACAGTTAATGTCTTTGCTAATTTTATAAATGCTGCAGAAACGTTCAGCTCATGCAATATGTGAAAGAGGATTAGGAAGAGCTGGAGTTCCTCGCCGAGGAAAAGCTTACAAACCATAGGTTGTAATTTTATCTTCAGACCTGCTTTAATGAAACATTAGTCATTTTTTATCTGCATCACACGCAGCTCCACACCTGAGCTGCTCAAATGGGAGTTCTGTGAACATGTTGCTCAGGAATGTTGTGTATGAAGTTTTATTAAGGTTATATACTCTGTTTATAATCATGAAAGCTTGAAATGTGCTCATTAAATAGATTTAAAATGTATAAAAGCTCTTGTTATTTTGAAACCGTGTAATATTTGAGCTGCTTTACATTGATGCTTTTAATTGTGGCTCATTTTTTAAATGAATTCTGTGGCATCAATGCAGTCGCTTAGAAAACGACGCATCGCTCGTTTGGAGGCGCACGAAGTCTGTGATGGTGAAGTTGGGCGAGAACAGAGCCGGCGTGTGTTTTGGTGCAAAATGCCACGCGTGACGCGTGACAGTGGAGATATTAGAGTTAATTAAGGCTTTGCAGCCATCTACTGCAAATGCTTGCACTTCTGCAATTAAGAATCAAAGGCGAGGGCTTAGTGTCGGGGGGGGGGGGGGGGGTCTAATACATGGGTTTTAACAGGAATGGGACCTGATTTGCCAAGCTCCCAGCGACAAGCATTAACAACAGCCTCAAATTAGAGCTCCATTAATATTCATAAGTAAAACAATTCATGGTGTGAATGTGATGACATGAAATCCTCAGAGGTGAGCGCTCGTGTCCAGGCTGCCATCGTTCATTAAAATATGCCATTACCCATGAAGTGCTTAATCTTTATGAAGGGCTGGTAAAAATCAGTTTGAGCTGCTCTGACAGAGACGGTGGGATTAGCAGCTCAGATTGCTATTCTTAATTCTTATTTTTTAAATCTGATGCCAAACAGTTTCTGTGCATCAGTTTAATGATGTGTAAACTGTTGTGATCATTTTAATATTGTTGACTGCTCTTGCCCCTGAATTCCCGTGTGTGTGTGTGTGTGTGTGTGTGTGTGTGTGTGTGTGTGTGTGTGT